ATTATTCTTTTAAAACCTTTTATTTGTTTTTTCAAAGCTCTGCTTTTGGCCGTTGTTTGATGCAGGTACACAGACTGAGACGTGTGGACCGGCATCATTTACAGTCCAACATTAGCCAGAATTTATCTACGTAACCTGAGAGCAGTCTTTGCTGTTTAAATGAAGAGTATTAAGTTTTTCTCTTTTATCAAATCGTTTTCCCGAATAAGATTCAAGGTTTCCCCCAGAAAACTTGCTAAGCCCGGCGGTTGAGGGTCTAGCCAGTCATTCATCCAGCGACCCATAGTGTTTTTGAGTTAAAAAATGTTTAAAGTTGACAGGAAATTTGAAAACATCACTTCATAATTGCGTGTTATTGAAAAAATGCAAACATTTAACAAAAAACTTAAATAAGCAATGCTTAGCCTGGTGGGGGCACAAGTAAAGTCTGGTGGCCCGCCAGGCTCACTGGGGGAAACCCTGAGGTTAGCATAAACTGTAATGTGGAATATCCAAGCAAAGGCTGAGGAGCTGAAAATGTTTCTGTGAATGCAACTGAGACGCCAGCAGGAAATCGGTTACTTTGTAACCTCTGAACAGAGCTTTAGACAGTGGACTAATGGTACAATTAGATGGATTCCTGCTGCAGCTTTAATTTTACATGAATATATTCAACTTATATGTCCTACTAGAAGTACAGTATGAAGACTGAACAGATGAGGATACAAATATACATCTTCATGGTTTTCAGGAAGTTTTCAGAACTTCCTGGAAACTTCCAAAAGTCGAGTTAAGGATCTGCAAGTGATCCAGAATGCAGATAATTTGCTCTGCTATATAGAACCAATGACCCAGGATAACAGGATATGTTACTTTCTATATGTAGTTAGAAAATCCACAAAATTAAGAGTGACAAATGCCATCGAAACATAAGGTCAATTGACAACATTTTACAATTTTTCATCTGCCAGAGTAGAAGCTGATGCTGAAATGGATGAAAAAACTTCTCTAAACTTTGTAGTTGTAGTAAATATTAAAGCAGCAGTATGTAACTTAAAGAGATGTTTTTTTTTTGCATATTTATTAAAAGTACATGAAGTGAGACATGCCATATACAACCCTCCTCCCCCTCAAGAACCCACCCCCCAAAAAAATTCCAAGTACACAGTAGCAGTGCAGTTACCACAGATATCATCTTGTGCTTGGTCATATTCATACACAAGCTGTGGTGATATTTACTCCCTGACAAACAAACTCAGAAATCACATGCAAAGTAAGAGACAAACAGTCAAATCCAAAGTGTTCAACAGCAAATGGCAGCATTAAAAGGTTTGGTATCGACGATACATTTTTAAATTTCTAGGAATTAAATGCAGTTACTTGTGCATCTAGCATTGATAAAATATCTTTACATGCAAACTTAATTCCAGTTGGTAAAACAAATAACTTAAAAATCCCTGAGTCATTTATGAAAACAAAACAAGCATGTTACATGCACATGAATAGCTTAATTACCAGTGCACATGTACCACATAATTACATTGCTAAACTGGCTTGTGTGTACCGGCTATATATTGGGGGAAAAAAGTCTGTAAAAGTACAAAACAAGCTCCCTCCGAGGGCAGACATACACCGTCAGCTTTAAGCTGCGAAACAGGATCCTCGTTGGCTGGTCTTTCCTTCCGACCCCATCCTTCAACTTCTATTGTAGGAACCCCAGATTTTCCAACACTTTGTCCACGTGGGGAATCAACTTTTCCTGAAAATCCCACAGCCGCTTGTCCACCTTGAGCTCCTCCAGTTTGAGTAATTTCCGTAGGGCCACACGGACGTGAACGATCCGGCAAACGTCTAGCGGGACTTTGAACTTCTGCCCAAAAAATTGGAGCACTTCATGCACAGATGTCTGCTCCACCATCCTGCGGCACCGGTACACAAGAGTGAGATGTTGGTTAGGTATACAGAACAATGAAACACATTTTAAATCAGTACTTTTCACGAGAAACCAGACTTTACTATTTATTGTCTTTATTCATGTTTGACTGCTAAACAAGCCTCCGGTCACTAGGTGACAGCAGAGTTCAAATTAAGGCTGGCTGTTCAAGCCAGTAGAAGAAGTAGCCTATGAGAACAGAGTAATACTACCAGAGCAGGGATACACTATTGATGGAATAAAGTAAAAAAGAAATGATGATCAGGGTTCATTTACTGAGGTGGTACAGGTTACAGAAACATTTGAGAATCATTGTACAACATCCTGCTATGGTCCGAAGTGGTTGAGTATCCGTTTTATTGTCATTTTAGAAAACCCATATATTTAAATTTGGACTTTATCAATTAAATTCAAACATAAATTAAGACTGAATGCATTTCTCGGCCTACCTTGGCTGAACGATCATCTTGTGTGGATGATAAATCTTTCGGTCAGGGTCTTCTCTGTAAACATGTTCCAGAATATTAATTCCAGGCACCCCGCTCCACTTAGGAAGGTGAAACCTGCCACTTGGTTCAAAGTGATGCTTGGGAAAGATGTGGTTCTCAATGAGGAACACTCCCACCTAAAAAATGCGAATATGCTTTAATAAAAAGATGGGAAACGTATTTGGCAATACAAGCATAATGCACTGATAAACAACCTACATTTGGATGCTGCTTCTGCAGCTCGTCCATCAGAGACTTCAGGTTGTCATGCTGATACGGCATGATGATCTCATCTATGTCGTTCAGCAGGACGTAGCGGGAACGCTCCATGGATCTGTAGATGCACTCGTTGAGTGTGGTGAGCTGGCCAAAGTAGTGAATATCACCACCAAAGTCCGAAAATCTCCAGCCTCGCGATGGATTCATGTATTTGTCGATCGGCCAGGAAACTATTTCCACAAAGCCCTCCTGGCTGTAACTCCGCAGAAGACGGTCAAGGTCCGGGCCACAGCTGGTGTTGTAGATCACTACTCTGTTCACACCGAGCAACCTTGGACAAAAAAAGACAAAAATAAAATCACCTACTAAACATATTGACACTGCAGGTAAAGCAGTCTGAAGTGCTAAATGTTTTTGCAGCGACTAGGTGCTTCTTTGATCTAGGTTTTACTCAAATCTGCAGAAGGAAGCTTTCAATTACTGGCTCCTGTTAATGCCAGAGAAATAAAATGTTTAGCTTCTTTGCTAATTGCTTTCCTCTAATCTCACGAATCCAGAGTTCCACATGTGCACAGAGGAAACCACACAGAGAACAACCAGTCGCCATTCAGCTTCAGGCATATCTAGAGTTTTATTCAGACAATTAAATGCATAGAAAAAACAGATCAGCATCACACCCAAACCATCTAGAAGTCCAATCCATAAAGCAGACATTAATTACCTGAGAAAAGTAGAAAAATGAACAAAATACAAAAATAAGAGAAAGGCAAAGGCGCCTTTGGGAACTGCTCGTGCGGCTGCAAAATGAAGCAATCCAGCTTGCTGCTGTGAAGTGGAGACTTTTATTAATAGGAGTATTCCTAATTTTAATATATGCATTGAAGGTGTGTCCTCTCCTTCTAAACCTCTAAGCAGTTTCAAATTAATTAGGTAGGACGGGAGACCTATTCAAAACCAAAGATAAAGAGAAGGAGAGAGCAAAGGTCATTCTCAAAACAGGATGTTCTCATGCCAGTTGCATCTGGAGTCCCCTCCCAGTTCCTCCTTTTCTATACATTTAAACAAAGAGCCTAGTTGCCAGAAAGAGATTTATTTTCCACCTAGACCTTGCTCGTTCTCCTGCCTGAGCAATTCCATAATATCCCACATAGTTTTGTTTTCTTAAGATTTTAGTGTTTTTTTTCTTACCTCATAGAAAACACCAAAGAATTTGACCTAGTATGTAGCACAACCGTTTCCTCTGATAGGAGAAGACATTCTATGGTGAAGGCCCTTTTTCAAAACCGTTTGTGATTTTTATGTAAGTTAAGAAAATCCTAGAAATGTTTCAGTTTCTAGGATAAACAGAACAGACTGTGATTATTACGCATTAATTTCAGGATTCGTGCAGGACAATGATTGGCGTCACACTGAAAATTCATGGATCAGAGAGTACAGGGCTTTGACAGTCGCTTCATCGAATGTCAAAGCCCTGGATAATGATTCAATTTCAAACTGAATCATTATCCAAATCTAACTAAATTAAAATCTACTCAAAATATTCATGCTCTATCTAATATATTTCACATGGACCAAGGTTAACTGTTGCTAAAATTAATATAATTAAACTTATGCCCCCAACTACATATAGTTAAGTTTAAAAACTAGCATATTTTAAATTTATTTTCCCAACACTCCCCAAGATTGCCATCGACAGCCCGACACTGGCTGCCTGTTTGAGATTTGTGAAACGCATCTTCACTGAGTCTGGCCACCTGCCAGCTGATGCTGTGCTAACCAGAGCTAAGAGGATCCGCCACGTTACAAGCTAACCTGTGCTAGCCAAACAGTGGTAGCTTTGAATGTTAAACTTCATTGCTTTTCTTTTGTATTTTTATGGTGCTTCTGCATTATTGATGCTAAACTTTTGCAAACGCAACGGGCCTCAGTGCCTGCCGCAGCTAAAGCCACCTATGGCTCATACCGTTCAAACTTCATCCCAATGATTGGTTTTAATCACTGATAGTCCGCTAAGCTGCTACTTTTTGTAGTTTTACTTTAATTGATCTTTTATATTTTCCTCAGTAGTTAGTTGAGTTTTAGTATCTTAGTGAGTTTGTTGATTGAAGTCTTCAACTCCAAAATTAAAATCTTATTTTTAAAAGTCTTTTACATTGGAGTGAGGTTTGCATTTATTCCACAAACACATAGTACCTTGTTGTTAAAAATAATGCCAGAATATTGGACTTCATCTGTTCTTTTAATACCTAAGCCTCATTAAGCAGCTATTTATAGGTGATAACTGAGGCAGGACTATTTGTATATTATTATTACTTTCTGGTGGTGCTCCAACTTGATAATTTTATCTAAATTACTACTTTTATTAATATTTGCCTTAAGTAATTACTTATTCACAGCTAAAATTAGACTCATGCAGCACAATGAAGTTGAAAATAAATCTGTCCAACATCTAAATGGTTCGTAGAGCTCTAGTAGAAATTAGGTTTAAAAATGAAAGATTTTCTGACATTATGAATTGGTTTTTGATGTTAACTAGAAATTTCAATCCAGAATTATTGTAGGTGAGTTTGATTTGTGGGTAGAAAGAGAACTGTGAACCTCAATTTCCCATTGTAAATCATAAAACTGAAGTTTCTCACTAGTAAGGATTAGGATTACTGACCTGTACATCTCTAGTGTCTGTGCAAACTGCAGCACATTGTTGTAGTCCCCAAACAGATTGGAGACGCACACAGTGAAATCCATCCTTTCCTCCGCTCCTCCGTTAGTTTTCTTGTTCCTTATGGGAAGCCAGATGTTTTCGGATCCGTTCATGGGCCTCGTTTGAGTCAAAAGAGTGACATGTGTGGCATTGCATTTTTCAGGAATCCGGCACATGACGTCTGTGGTGACGAACGGAAACCCGAAGTTGTCCGAGTGTTGTAAAACTTTCGTCGGAGTGGTTTCACTTGTGTAGTCGGCACAGCAGAAAAAGCAGTGGAGTTCCTGGATGGAGTCTCTCCGAAACATCCCGATGAGGCGAATGTCAAAGCCCTGTACTCTCTGATCCATGAAGGCTGAGACCAAGAAGTGCTTGGTGTTTTTCAGGGGAGTTATGCTCTCTTTGGAGACTGATCGCGGACAAACCTCTGGAACAACTGGTCTCGGGTTGAAGCTGGGTGATCTGTTGCTAATAAAGAACGCGACTACACATATGATGATGAAGAGGAGGCAAAGGAACTTTATTCTGATGGGTTTGGACATGGTGGGATGGGTTACTGACCTCAGGCAGAACCTGGAATCAAAGGAAGAGAAAAAACATCATGGCCATTCTGAATCTGTTATACAAATCAGGTATTAAAGGTAAAGGTAATTTAATTTAGACAGCACATTTTCAGCAATAAGGCAATACAAAGTGCTTTACAGGAATTAAAAGGAAATACAGGCAAAATAAACCACAGGAAAGAGCAAAAGAAGAAAAATAATCTAATGTTGAGCTAAAGTATGCAAACTAGGTGCTTCTGTTCAGGGTTGATAGATACTGTAAGTCTCCTCTGGTCCGAATACTTTTCTGGGTTGGAAGAACAGGAGCCTAAAAAGAATCTAATAATGTTGATCTAAAGTAGATAAACTAGATACTCCTATTCAGGGCTGGTAGATAAGTATAAGTAAGTATCTTCTGGTCTAATTCCTCTTCTGGGTTGGAAGAACAGGACTCTAAAACGTAATTGCTAAGGTAGTTTTTTCTAGATTCCAAGTTTGTTCTAATCCCTGTCCTGGTTTCCTAAATAAGTGTATGTAATTCCTTTTCTGAGTTGCACTAATAGTCTCTCTGCATACTAATATACAATTAATCTAAGAAGTATAACATTGGTCTGAGTACTGTACATTTTCTTAAAAAAAAAATAGAAAAATAAAAAATAAGCTAAAGAGTGACTAATCAAATTCCTTTTCTGGGTTAAAAGTGAGTAGTCCACAGTTTCTAAATAATAAAGGGGAATGAAATAAGAGGAAAGGTCACATTAGGGCAAATGGCAGCATTCAGACAAAACAAAGGTCTAAACAAAGATGTGAGTGAAGGCGGTGATGTCACAGGACCATGAAACCATGTTGCTCAGCCTCCCGGCAGAAGTCCGATAAAGATGTTATCAAGGAATGTCCTTGGGGCGCTCAGCTCCACATCCGCATGGATAACAGGAGGGGGAGAGGAGGGAAGGAGCGTTATGTGTACATATCTTCAAGGAGATTGGAAATATGCAGCCCTTCCAAGGCCACACAGGAAAGCCAATTCAGATGGAGAATGTCTTAGGTCTGGTAGATCATGAATTTCAACCTTCCCTAAAGTCTCTCATCTCAGTTCCCAATTATCCAAATTAGTTTGGTCGTTCCACTGAACCTAAACTAGCAGCTCGTCCGAGATCGATTCCAACTCGTTAGTGAGTTTTAGAGTCCTCATCTGGGCTGCGAGTCTCAGCTAGACTCACATCCAACTTTATGTCTCTGTCAACACCAACAGTCTGAGTGTTCGCTAGTTTGGCCAAGTCAGCCACAGATTTATTGATAAGCCAGGAATCCACAAACTCCAAACAGCAGAAATCCTGTTATGATGAATAAATCCAGGGTTAATCCCGTCGGGACACAGACTTGTCTGGACACAAGTCTGGACTTGATCAATTACATTGAGAGATCGGTTGACCAGATTTGTAGATTTGGAGGATGTACAAAGAAAGGCTCCAAAAATAGAGAAAAAGACAGGACAAAAACAGAGCAAGCAGGGCAGGGAGGGAGCAGAGGAAAAAACCGTCCGCCTTCACCGAAAGCAAGAGGAAAACTTAGCTATAGAAGCACAAAGTTGGACAACAATTCCAGATACAACTTTAACACATACAATCACAAAAAAACTGCTTGGCTGCAGTATTTGGTAGATATAAATATTTAAAATATTCAAACTGCTTGCAAATAACATATGTGGAATGGTTTCAATGACTTGGACTCCATTTTCTGCTTATAGACGTGTGACCAAAATGCCAATTATGAAGCACAGTGGTTCGGCCGTCATGACACAAAAGAGGAAGGTGAAGAAAATGTTGGTAAATCTAATCAGTACTGTCACATCAAATGACATCCCTGGCGTCAGTACAACCACAAAATGTTAGAAATACTAGAGCAGTCCATGTATAATGATTAAAAAAACTAAAACAATAGATTAAAAAACAAAATATCTTCCTTTTCTAATTAGCTCTGCCACAGTTGACAAAGATTCATTTTGATTCAGAGCATAAGGCCACCATCAACTTCTCTAACGCTTTGGTATATGTGGAAGTGGTGCAACCATAGAAAGGCAACTATCGTCTGTTCAATCATCCATCGTGATGATAGAAATAAAATTTAACAGTCGCATCAGAGCCGATTGCTCAATCAAGACATCCTTTTTTAGAGAAATGTTAAGATCTGCTAAATGGAGATGTTGGAGCATCTTACCCCTCATGCAAACACATAAGTGATTGACCCGTCGAATGATTGTCCACACGCGACACCACAAAACATCGTCCATGAGGTCGTCTAGAGTTGTTCCACAAGGATATATTCCTGGATCCTTGATGTTTACACTTTAAAGAAAAACTTTTATATGTTCTAAAATCAACATCTAAACATGTGCAGATGATGCTGTAATGTAAATGTATGGTACCAGTTATGACCCAGGTTTCACGTGAATCAAATTACAAAGGTAACGTTCCAGTTTGTAACTTAATATGCGTCTCAAGTTTACACCGGTCTCCTTTAGAGCCACGTGTTTTTGTTTCGTTCACTGGAGAGGCGAATTGTTTCTGAGTTCAAGCACCTTGGATCCAGTTCCAAGCATTTTATTTAAAGTTTACGTTAAAAGTGTTTGTAACCGGGTCAGATTTAATCTGTCAAATGTCAGGTTTATAAGAAGATAAATATCAGGAGAAGGAGTTGATATATATATATATAGTCACCATATATTCTCTATAGTGTCTACCAGAGCACATATCTATCCATAATAACTCAATCATGAGTTAAATAATATTTTAATTTGGTTTTTAGGATTAGTATTCCAATGTTCCACGTTCAGCCATGAGATCAAATGTATAAAACATAATTTCACATGAAATTATGTTTTATACATAATTTGGAACCAGCATAATTTGGAACAATGAAATAATAAAACTAAAAAAACTTATCAAAGGAGGTACAAAACACCCAGGGTGACACGTGATACCAGCATAATATATCGATACTAGCATTACGGTGTTTATTCCCAAGGTTATTTCTGCATACACATAATTAGTATAACATTAAAAAGTCAGGCAGGATGCATCGCAGGGCCTGGGATCCTGTTCAGCCCCGACGTCCAAACACTCAACAAAATCCTTTTGAGGGATCGGATTTCAAGCATCCTGCTCTAAATGAGTCATTCAGACCTGCTGGTTAAATGCATCGAGTGACCATGTTTGCAGCACAACTAACTGTGCTGTACACAAATATAGAGAGAAGAGCGCCAAGTGATCATGTTTTGAATTTATACTGCAGCAAGACTTTTATGAGGCGCGCAGAGAGAAACGGAGGAAAGTGGGGAGCAAATGAGAGGCTTCATTAGCCTGCAAATAATTAAAGATGAGTGTTTTTGCATATGAAAAACCAATTAACACAACTTTATTCCATTATTACATATTTTAGCAACGTGAATAACTTGCTACACTTTTTGCATTTTATGCACTTACTTTTGGACACAAAAATAAATGCATGCTGGCCACAGTTTTTACATTTTTCTCTAAGATGCTTTTCAATGCAACAACTCTTGGCATGACTGTGTGCTTATGTCTCTGGCATCCTGTTTGTGTTTCAGATGAGCATTCCTCCAAACCTTCAGTCTGCATGATAATTGCTCTCTACAAACAGCTAGCCAACCATCACCACTTTCAGTGTAATTAAAATCACTTCCTGTGGATGAAACTTAGCTGGAGCTACATTCACACAACAGGCAAATGCGACCCAACGCATGTGTGATTTTTTCATGTCCATTAACTTTATTTTTATGTTAATTTGAAAAAAATAAAATAAAATAAAAAAAAAATCTCAGTTACTCAGGATAGCTGCACGTGAAGCACCCGTTCACTAATGAAGGCAAATGGCCTGCTCAACTCCAGAGTTGTCTCAAACTGTACAGGTGCTGCAAGTCTGACATGAACTAACATAAAGTGTTGGTTTTGGCACAGGCAAGCCCTGTGGTGGATTACTTCCTGACAATCACCACAACTAGTGTAATGTGAGAAAATCTTCCTCAGAAACAAAAATTCAAAACAAAACTTTCAACTTTCAGATCTCTGCCATGTTCCTCTCATCTCACACCAGTAACCAACTACCACCACCTTTTGGACCAATAAACTTTCTTAAACTGCCAATGGACCAGCAACCACACTTACTAACAGCATACTAATGCACAATACTTGGCATGAAGGAAAATAAAATGCAAGTCATGCAGCTCTCGCATGTGTACTACAGCTTCAGAGAGCTTTTGCTCCTTGAAGATGGAAACGGCATTTGCAGCCTATTGTTAACACAAGACTGCGACAGACTGGCGACCTGTCCAGGGTGACCCCGCCTCTCGCCCGGAACGTTAGCTGGAGATAGGCACCAGCACCCCTCCCGACCCCCCTGAGGGACAAGGGTGTTCAGAAAATGGATGGATGGATGGATGTTAACACAAGAAACATGGGTTGCAAACTCCCATTTAGATTTAGCACATGGGCAATGTATGAACCACGACAAAACAAAGGTGGGGACAACGCCTTCAGAAAACTGAATTTATTTCCCCCACTGCTGAAAAGAAAGTCATGCCAGGCTTCAAGGAAATCAGGCTCTGAGACAGAGTGGCAATTTATTAGCTAACTAGTCACCTTTTCAGGGCATTGTGAAACCCTGTTTTTCAAGATTATCCTCTCGGTATCCTCTAATCCTCTAAACCACCACGGCTCTCAACAAGCTTAAGTGTTTACGTGAATGCTGGTATTCGCACGGTTTTACTCATTTTTTTAAAAAAATTGTGTTGCACTGTTTTCATATATTGTAAATAGTCTCTTTTTAAAAAAAAGGTTTTGTTGACTCTAGTGCCCTTTATTTGAAAGTAGTTTGACAGGAAAGAGGGCAATGAGAAAGAAGGAAGACATGCGGCAAATGTCGCCAGGCCTAATTGCACAGTTTACCATAAATCTTTTTTTATATATATATATATATATATATATATATATATATATATATATATATATATAT